TTATGAGACCACAGTTTCCCCAGAACATAATACTAATTGTGTTAGGCCTAGGCCATTAGAAAGTGACCAGTTGTTGCTTGAACAGCCTTCTTGCAGCTATGCTAGGCCTATGACCCCTCCAGATGCCCTTACTGTCCAATATAATTCAGATTTGTCTAGTAGGCCTGAAATATTTGATCAGCATGTATCTTCTCCATCACGTGATGAAGAATTGCCTAAATCAGTCCAGTTTCTTGATCGGTTATACCGCGGTAGTATGAGCGCGCCTTCTCTCTCGCCTACACCGAGTGAGGAAGCTGACGACCCTGGTTTCCCTGACTCTAGGCCTATAAATGATATAGATAGTGGCAGGCATAGGCCTATGACCCCTCCAAATGTCCAATCTGATTTAGATTTGCCTATTAGGCCTGAATTATTTGACCAGCTTGCATCTTCAATCGTGCCTGCCCTCTCACCTACACCGAGTGAGGAAGCTGACGACCCTAGCTTTCCTGACCCTAGGCCTAAAAGTAAACCTGTTAGGGGCAGGTCTAGAGGAAGAGGTAGGCCTATAGGAAAAAAAGCTATTTCACAACCATCTAAGCCTACTAAAAGGTCCAAAACTCAAACTAGTAACGATACAGCTCCACCAAAAAAGAAGAAAAAGGAGGGTTGGCAGTGGACCAGTACCATAGAAAGTAATATAATAAATAAAATCCCTTTTACTGGTTGTCCTGGTGTTAGAGCAAGTTTGGCTAGAAGTTTAGGCTCAGCTCCCTCTGAATTAGATGTTTTCAATGCGTTTCTTGATAATGACTTTTGGCAACATGTTGCAACAGAGACTAATAATTATGCCAAAGAAACAATTAAGAAAAAGAACGAAGCAGGCGGGGTAGGAAAAACTATATACTCAGAATGGTTTGACACAACTGCAGATGAGATGGCTTGTTTTTATACACTGTGTGTCCTTATGTCGCTTGTAAAAAAAAGAACCATACAATCATACTGGTCGCCTAATGCTGTAACTGAGACCCCTTTTTTTCGTAAAGTGATGCCATTCCGCCGTTTTTTGCTACTGTCCACATTTTTCCACCTTACAGACAATAATAGGAAACCTGTGAATGATAAACTGTGGAAGTTAAGGTACGTTATTGAGTACATGAACAGGAAGTTTTCCCATCTGTACATACCTGATGAAAACATAGCTGTCGATGAGAGTCTTATGAAGTTCCGAGGGAGGTTGGGCTATGTCCAATTTAATCCCAAGAAGAGAGCCAGATTTGGCATAAAGTTTTACAAGTGTTGTGAATCTGGAAGTGGTTATTGTTCTAAATTTAAGATCTATACTGGAGCTGAAGTCAAAGAAAATGTACCGGTTGAAGAAGGAAGTGGGGATTCTACACAGGAGGAAAAGCTGTTAACGAGTGAGGCGATAGTCGTTGAAATGACAAAAGATTTGGCAGGAAAAGGACATACTCTGACAATTGATAATTGGTACTCCTCACCTCTTCTCTTCTATAGACTTAAGCAAATAGGTTTCAATGTAATTGGAACAGCTAACTGGTGGAGATCAAACATGCCAGAGAGCTTCAAAGAGGGTAAACTTAAGTTGGGCGACTACGAGACAGCCTATAGCCACGATATGTTAGCAGTAAGGTGGCAGGACAAGAAGCAAGTTTGCATTTTGTCTACCTTTCATCAAAAAGCTGACAAAAGATCAACTGGCAAGAAAGACAGAGTTACCCAAGAAATTATAACAAAGCCAGAACCAGTGATCTACTATAATCGTTCAATGGGTGGAATTGACCGCGAGGATCAGCAATTAGCGTCGTTTCCTAGTATGAGGAGGTATGCTAAGGGATACAAGAAGATCTTCTTTTACATAATGGACATTGGCCTTTTTAACTCTTATGTAGTGTTCAAAAAATTAACCAGAAAAAAATTGGGGTTCAGTGAGTTCAAGGAGAGGTTTGTCAAGCAAATGTTTGAGTCGCGACAACTGCCACCGTACAATCGAAGAGGACGATCATCCAACTCAGAAACACCTCTGAGGCTCCAGGCAGCAACTTGGGGACATTTTCCTAGGCCTATTCCTCCAAATGAAGTCAAACAAACACCTTCAAGAAGATGTAAGGTGTGTAGTGCCCAGGGAAAGCGCAGTGACAGCCGATGGGAGTGTGAGCTCTGCCTTGTCGCACTTCACATGCCAGAGTGTTTCAAGGCATACCACACCAAAATGAACTTTGCTTGACATTTGGTGAGTTTTTATAAGTGTCATACAGTATTATAGACTAGTTCCAAAACATATATGAGCCCTATGTAGCTAAAAATTACCAATAAAAAAGTTTTTTTTAATTTTTTTATTTTTTTATTTTATTTTTATATGGTATAATAAAAAATTATAGTTATATTTTTTTGGGAAATATTTATATATTTTGAATCTACATTTAATTTTGAATAAGAAAATAATAATATCTTGCATATAAATAGTAAATGTTGCCTGAAAAAAAATTAAATCAGAAATGAATGAAACTAGCCACAACAAATTTGTTTGTTTTGGCCTAGGCGGGTAAAAAAAAAATCATAAGTGAATGGGTTAAAGGTCACTGGGCCAGGGCTCCAAGGGAATTTACTTTGTTTTTCTATTGATGGCTCATCTACAGACCAAGACCTTTCTTTAGACACCTCTAAGCTTCTACACCCAGCAGTTCTCTCAAATTAGTGGAGTCAAAGTTTCCAATTAAATAAATAGATCCCTCCATGTTAACCTTATCGGAGAAAACCGAACTTTGATTGAAGATTCTGCCCAAACTAATAAAGATTTGAAAAAATGAAAACCACTTTGCAAAACTGCAGATCAAGGCCATTTTTTGACACTTGAATCATCAAAATCAGTCAAAAAATGAGGGAGGAGTTCTGTTCACAAAAATCGGCTTAGCGTATTATATAGATGAGACTTAGGGAATTTATTTTTAGTTAGTTAGACCATTGACTATATAAAACTTTTCATGTATCTGGATGTGAACAGCACACTCTGGCGGGAAGGGGCAATCATTGCGCTGATGTCACTCACCAGTAGGTGCTGCCACGGTGTGGCGGGCAATGAAAACCTAGTGCTGTCTGCTGTTATGATGCAATGTACAGACAGCCGACAGCTAAGCCACCCTAGCTAAAGGACCCTAGCTTGGGTCCCTGAGCACTCGGGGCATGAGGGGAATGAGAAGGTTGATGCTTTGGCCAGGAGGGGTGTGGAAGAACAACCGACAGGACCAGAACCCTACTTTGGCACCCCAATAAGCTCAGGAGTAGCCAAAGTCCGAGGCTGGGTCAAGGCTCAAAAGGCGGAGGCCTGGAGGAACAACCCAGGATTGAGGACGTCTAAAACTTTAATTGACCCCACAATGAAAGATACAAGATTACAAGGTACAAGATACAAGATTCTTTATTTGGTCAATTGAACAAAAATACAGAAAGACTGGAAAGGCGTGATGAGCCTAAGGAAGGGGGACATTAGATTACTAATAGGGCTGCTAACCGGGCACGGACCTATTAGGAAACATCTCAGAACCATAGGGAGGTCACAGACAGACCAATGCAGGTTCTGCGAAAATGAGGTGGAAACCTCTGAACACTTATGGCTGGACTGACCAGCGCTGGCCCAAAGAAGGTTCATATTTCTGGGAAGGCTGCACTTGAAACCTACAGAGATGAGGAATCTGGGTGTCTTTCAGCTCCTGGGCTACATCAGAAGTCTAGGGCTGTCAGAATGAACTTAAGGGTGCTACAATAGGCCATAAGGCCGAAGTAGCTAGGGGCTCTACAAAATAGTTTGGAAAGAAATTGCTAAATTTTAAGATTTTAGGGTCAAAAATGGGAAAACCCAATTTTTTACCCATAAAACCCCCCATAAACCACTGTTCCCATAGTCTGATCATGCTGGTTCGCGAACTCGTTCGAATAAATGTAGGTTTACACGTTTGTACCAAATTTCATCAAAATCGGATGATTTTTGCTCGCCTATTGGGTCTGATGATGATTGGAGTGTCCAATCAAAATCGATCACCACTTGCCATCTTTTTTGTATGTTTACCATCTTGTGAGTAACAGTATAAGTGTAAATATATTTTTAAGTGTTATAAGACGTATCTTTCATTTACTTTCCGTAAATTTAATAACACGTACAATGCTGATCAGTGATCAAGAAGTTATTTAAGAATATATCCAAAGTAAATTAAAGAATTTCACCCTGTACAAGTTTGTTCTATGATATTAAATAGCATTAACATGTTTTAAGGTTTACCTACAGCAGTGTTTCCCAACCAGTGTGCCGGTAGGACTCTGTAGGTGTGTCGCAAAATTTTAAGTACCGGTAGTTGAAAAAATTTTGATCAAGAAAGAAAATTTAATGAACAAACGTCAAGCACAAGTTTCCCACTAGAACTGAAACCAGGGTTTATTAAATATTTCTCACTCCTTATTGGTAAATTCATACAAAATTTTAATCAAGCTCAATGTTTTATTATTATTTAAAACTTCCCACTTACTAAACACTCAATAATGTACATATGTTAGATAACAAATGTGAGTTTTATATTTTTTATGCTCTTACTAAATGTAATTTTAACCAACGATATATTGTAGACAAGTGTGCCGTGACTACAAACGTGTTCTAGTTAGTGTGCCCTGAAAAGAAAAAGGTTGGGAAACACTGACCTACAGGGTGCAGCACAATTATTTTTTTGCATTTATGACAACAGCTAATTTGAACCAACTAGCAACAAAAAGCTGTGGTACACAATGAGACCTTTACTTTTTTCTATGGTTCAGGGGCAGTGGTAGAACAAAAGAACCAAACTTTCTTAAACCATGTCCTCACCCATAACTGCAATAAGCATTTTATACTTATATGCCAACCCCGTACGAAGGACGGGTACTCTGCTAGTATACATATAAATATATATATTACTAAGCAAATCAAAATACCACAGTACCCTAAAAACATTTTATTTTATATTACTTACATGTTTCGGACATTAATGCCATGATCACAGTATAGTTAGTGTGGTTTCAAAAAATTTTCAAACAATTAGAAGGATTGGCTATGGGTTCTCCACTTTCTGGTATTCTAGCAAACATATATATGCAGCATCTAGAATCATCAAAAATCATAAACAACGAAAATCCATTTAAAAAAGATATAATCTATTGGTATAGATATGTCGATGATATATTATGCTTATACAACGGCAATAAAGACTCATGTCAAGATTTTTTGAAATACTTAAATTCTATCTCCCCAACAATTAAATTTACGATGGAGACACAAGAAAAGAAGATAAATTTCTTAGACATAACAATTACTAAAGAAAATGATCGACATAATTTCAATATATATAGGAAACCTACCCAAACTGACCTAATCATTCCATTTGAGTCAAACCATCCTTGGCAACACAAAATTTCTACATTCAAATCAATGGTATTTAGACTACTTAACATACCAATGTCTAAAGACAACTTTGAAATAGAAAAGAAAACTATAAAAAGAATTGCAGGAACAAATGGATACAAAGAAAAAATGATTGAAAACTTAATAAAAAATGAAAAAACAAAAAGAATGAAAGTAGAAGAACAAGAAAACGTAAAGAAAGAATTTATATGTATTCCATTCAGCTCATCCTTAAACAAAACCTTAAGAAAGACATTACCGAACTCAAAATTTAAACTAAGTTATAAAACAAGGAATAACGCTTTCAACATAATACAAAAAAGAACAAATCCGATACCCAACCCACCAAATGTATATAAGAAATCAGGAATTTACAAATTATCATGTAACAACTGTGAAAAATACTATATTGGTCAAACAGGTCGAACATTTGCAGTTAGATACAAAGAGCATATACAGGCAATCAGATCAAACAATATGACAACACAAAAATCCTCATATGCCGAACATATACTTCAGACCGACCATACATACTCAAAAATGAATAAAAATATGCACATTCTGGATATTGAAAATAAAGGTGAAAAAATGAATACAAAGGAAGACTTTTATATTTATACTCACCATATTAATGACAAAGACAATTTACTAAACTTGACACAAATTCAAAATCAAAACGTAATATTCAATGAAATTATACATCTTAAAGAAAACACCTCCTTCCCTTAATATAAAATTATCACCTGTTCTTTAATAAGAAATATCTAATAATGTTTGTAAATAAAAGAAACCAATAGGTTATATACTATACTGTGATCATGGCATTAATGTCCGAAACATGTAAGTAATATAAAATAAAATGTTTTTAGGGTACTGTGGTATTTTGATTTGCTTAGTAACATTTAAAGTAGCCCTCATTGATGTATACAATAACAAAATATATATATATATATATATATAATTAATTTTGTAATTTTGTATTTTGCAATTTTATATAATTAATTTTATATATATATATGTATATATATATGAATGTGAACGGATGGTGTTTTTGGCCTCTAGGGACCTCAAAACGAAAAAGTAAATTGGTCCCGGGTCCAGGTCTTACCATGAGTACTACGGTAATAGCTTATTCCCTATAGGGGAAATTCGCTAAAAACTAAAAATTTAAGCTATTAAGTACGGTAGAATACATCCACCTAACACTTTGAAACTAGTGAACGAGCTTGAAATAACTATTAACTATAACAGCAAAATGTGCTCAGACAAAAAAAAGAAAGTGAAATGACTAAACATGGAGGGTGGCAGAGTGTTCTCTGTGACCATTTGGCATTCAACAGCACTTCAATATACTAAATTATTAATTTTTTAAGCTCTACAAAATAGTTTAAAAATAAATTCAAAATCTGTTGTTTTTGGGGTTGAAAATAGGAAAAATCCATTTTTACCCCATAAAACCCCCCATAAACCCCCGTTCCCATAGTCCAATCATGCTGGTTCGCAAACTCGTTTGAATAAACGTAGGTTTACACGTTTGTACCAAATTTCATCACAATACGATAATTTTTTCTTGAGTTATCACGGTAACGGATATATATATATACTAGCTGTGTGCCCGTTCTACGCACGGGGATCTTATAGTAGTCAGTTGAAACCTTATTATATAAAGAACAGCAGTTGGTTTGCATATTTTCAGATGTGCTGGCAAAACTATTATATATAAACCTATAATGACATATGAAGAAAAAGCAAAACTTTTACAGTAAGACATCAGTTAAATTGAATACTACTGTAATAAATAAGGTACAACACTAACGATAACTAATTTGTAGATTTGTTGGTACGTAAACATTATTCTTGTTGATACCACCGGTTCTAAGGAAAAAACCAGTACCAAAACCAACGTTTACAGTTAAGAACTATAGTACATCCGACCAATTAAATGCGTTAATCCAGTTCCGAGGCTATTGATCTCTCTTGGTTTTGGATTTTCTGACAAGAAAATCAAAGTTATTTCCCATTAATTGAATTATTTGTAAACAACTTTTAATGTAAACATTTTGGTGACAGTTTGAACAAAACAACCTCATCCAAACAGCTTTTTGTTATTTAAAAGATTGCGTATTCACTAAACTATGTTTCGTATATGTAGTTAACATAAGAAGGACATGTGAAAAAATCACACAATGTTGTGTTTTTTTACGTTTTTAATTTGATTTCCTAAGTAGGTAGGCCATGCATTGTAGGGAAAGTACCGGTATCAAGGATCGTCGTCGAATAGGTTGTCATGAATAATTGGGTAGGCCTACGTACCCAAGATACAGTCTATGGGCTTATTGGCTGTATGGTCCAGCGATTGCAGCACATAGCGGTGAGTAGAAACCGAAAGTGACACATTGGAAAAGCGAGTTTAGCATCATCCGTAAACCGGCAAACCTCTGTTACAATCATCCACTGCAGTTATGATTTTTCACTTTACACTTCACACAACCGCAATTGAAACGCCGTCAATGAGTGAAAACCTAGTTAGTAAGCTATTGGCGACGATGATTTTATAAATGTAAGTTCCCAGCCCTATAAAACACTGATTCAAGGTCTTTTTCCCGGTTATCAAAACTTCAGAACAATTTTATACACAAAGAATCTCTAATTTCATTTACGGTTACAATACACATTATTGAACTTTCAAATAATTAAATCCTTTATGTAAGGAAAATCGTTTTTAATCTCACTTGGTTTGGATTTTGCTTTCAAAACGTTATTAAAAATCTTTGCGGTATTTGTAAACAACATTTATTGTAAACATATCAGTGACAGCTAGAAAAAATAATCTTGATCCGAACACCTGTTCGTTATTTCATAGATGATTATGTGATGGACATATTAGGAGAAAACTTGACAAAAATCGCACGAAATCGGGTTTTTAAACATCCGTCATTTTATTCAAAAAATAGTGAGGCCATATTTTAATGGTTACAGACAATCTCACTAATCCAGTGAATACATTAAAATGATTTGGATCATGATAGGTACTCTAGTTTTTCAGGAGAAGGCTGCGTAAAATGCCTCTTGGGCCGTAACAGACAGACCGACAGACAGAAATAGAGATGAGACTTGTTGTTGCTTCTTAAATGTATAAAACGGAAAAATAATCTAAAAATTTATAATTTTGAGCAATGTACAGACAAAACTCTAATTTTATTTATATAGATATATATCTAAATATATAAAAGGCTAAGCCCTCACTGACTGACTCACACACTCACTCACTCACTCATCACTAATTCTCCCACTTCCCATTTACCTAGGAGGCTGAAATTCGGTACACCGATTCTTTGGGCATTAAATAGGAAAACTAAGTAGTTTTTATTCTGATCGGGCTTTCGGACTCTGCCCCAGTGGCTCTGGAGTTTCCCATGTTAACCTTATGATTTTTCATATTTAAAAGGAATTTCTTAACAGCAATTTCAATTAAACAAGTTGGTTCTGTTCTATGATGTTCAATAGCATTAAAGTTACAAGGATTACCAACAGCGTGCAGCACTATTATTTTTTTAAATTTATGACTACAGCCAATTTGCAACCAAAAGGTGAGTGAGCGTAGCGAGCGAAGTTCAACCTGGAAGCGAGTTAGCGTAGCAAACGAGCTAATCTGAAGGCAAGTGAGCGGAGAGAAAGAGCTCCAACCCAAAGGTGAGTGAGCGTAGCGAACGAACTTCAACCAGGACGTGATTGAGCCATGCGAACTAGCTCACTTGTGAAGTTAAACGGGGCAAAGTCCGCGGGTACAGCTAGTATATATATATATGTAAATTTGAACGGATGGTGTTTTTGGCCTCTGGGGACCTCAAAACGAAAAAGTAAAATCGGTCGTGGGTCTTGGTCTTACCATGAGACCTACGATAATTGCTTATTTCCTATATGGGAAATTCGCTAATGTAAAAATTAGTACGTTAAGTATTTATTTATTGAAACCCATTAAAAATGTCTATGTTCTTGATAACTTGACAACTTACAACCTCTTGGTCCACTGATTGACAAGTTAGTAAGGATTTACTGTAATACACCTATAATTTACCTGTTTTAGGCCTAATCAATGAAAGATGTAGCACTGAGAACTCCTACTCAATAGGTAATCTTGTGACCTGTAAATACATTTCTGTTAATAACTTTTAAGAGTACATTCTAAGCAAAATACTTATCACAGGCTTATAGATAAAGGGACTTACAATTTTGTCTGTAAATCATGTTATGGAACTTAGCCTTGTTACTAAGCTAGGCTCCTACCTTGCAACCCAGTGGGTGACGCGGTGCGGCACGGCGCGACGCGGTGGAAAAAAGTTATCACGTATCGTATCCCTGCCATGTTATCTTATAGGCTGACGCCCACCTAGCAACACAGCGGGTGGCGTGACATGGCGTGGAAATAGAACTTATCCTCGAATCCAGCAGTGAGAATTCGGTGGAGAAGTTCTTCCTCTTTTTTGCAACGCCTCCGTTGAGTTGCCAGTTGGGTGCGGGGTAGAGGCGCGGAAACAGCGTCTGCCCCTCGTCTGCTGCTCTTTCAGGTGTTGTTGGAAAGTCCCGTGAGCCCTTCAGGCATTTTTGGGTGCGAAGTACACTAACAGTCTAGTCTGCAGTCTCGCTAGCAACCCGGCACGTGGCAGTGAAGTTTGTAGACTTGGCATTTCAATTTGGCATTATTGACCTTTTACATGAGATTAATGATTTCGACGCTATTCAATTTTAGTCAATCATACAAAATCTTGAGAAGGTAGTGAACAAATATAACTCACTCATTAGGCTATGTTTTAAAATAATGGTATATATATTTAAATGCCCCCGCTGCAGCAAACCTGCCAACTAAGCGAATTTCCATTTGCCTGGAGTGATTCTCAATTAATCTATTAAATTAACAACCAACCTCTATTATTAATGCTTAACAAGTACCTAGGTTAGCTGCTACAGGGAAACTAATAAAGTGTGTTTTTTATTAAAATATCAATAGCTAAGTACGAAATAAATAAATCCGCCAAGTTTGATCAAAATATATCCATAAACAAGCCAACTACAACATTTTACAATGTGCTCTATAAGAATAACATGGGAATTTTAAATTAAAATTTTTTTGAATTTTCTCCATAACCATTCACCGTACAAAAACTGTTTGATATACTAAATTATTTGTTTTTTTTTAAGCTCTTTATAAAAGGTCTGGAGAAAAATTGATAAATTTTGTGTTTTAAGGGTAAAAAATTAGAAAACCCCGTTTTTACCCCATAAAACGCTAACTCATTCAAGTTTATCCCGCCTTACACCTTCAAACCAAATTTTATCAAAATCAGACAAGTTATCGTCCGGACGGACACACACACATATATATATATATAAATATATAAATATATATATATATATATAAAAATTTTAACAAATTGTGTTTTTGGCCTCTGGGGACATCAAAATGAAAAAGTAAATCGGTCCCGGGCCTAGGTCTTACCATAAGACCTACAGTAATAGCTACTTCCCTATAGGGAAATTCGCTAATAAATACGTATTTAAGAAATTTGTACAAAAGTAAGAACCTACATAACAAACACGAAAGTTAAAACAAAAGTAGTGATAAAACGTAAGTGTAGGCCTACTATGAATCCACCTAAAAAATTTTAGGTACTTTCCTGTTATAGGGAACATTCATTATTATCGATGATTTTCAATCGATATATCGATATTAACCAATTGAAACCTATCAGCTGACAACTATGATAAATAAATATTGTTCAGTATAAAAAAATATTTAAATGAAACTGTTCCAAACCAACCTAACAAAACTAACCAAATTTGCTGTAACATTTAAAAATTCCGTTTCATATTCCCCACATGCCTTTTCTGTAATCAAACGGAATTTTTAAAATGGTACAGCAAGTTTGGTTGGTTATGTTAGGTTAGCTTAGAACAGTTTTAATCCATAATAGACTTGATCTTAGCCTAAACAAGATAGTTGTCAATTTGTAACGGATCGTAAAGGGAAAGAAAAATATCGATATATCGATTAAAAATTATCGATAATAATGAATGTTCCCTTTAACAGGAAAGTACCAAATTTTAACCTAAAATTGAATTGAATTGAAATTGATTGACGATATTTTGTACATTCCTTCCTTATTTCTTATTTAAACATATCGTGAAGTTCATAAAACCTTTCTGTTGACAAATGGAAATATTGGAAGAATTTTCTTTCATCCTCTTAACAGGTCACTTAACAGATGGTGGAATTCTCCGTATTATGTCTTTTCTGATTAATTTCATGCACCCAAATGCGCCTCCGACGTTTCTCTTCTGTCTCTGCTTGGAGCAAGCAAAATAAGAAAACATTTTCTTCATCTGAACTTGACTCAGTCATTATACACAAAATTTCACTCCAAGGAACATAAAGTCCCGTACACACTCTGTAAACTATGACTGAACTAGATAAAGTACTGTGCATCCCCTCCACAAGAATAATTCTCCGTGCCGCCCCGTGCTTCCGCTAGAGTTGTCAGATGTGCGCGCGGCCTTGGAGAAGAAGAGGGAAGTTTTAACTTTAAGGCCTTTATTTGATTGTAATAAAAGCGTGAGAATTAAATAACTTATACAAATGTTGATTAATTGGTGAAACCACAATGTCACATTGTTTTTTTATAAATATTAGGCGAAATAAATTAGGCGTTTGCCCCAAAAGTGCCAAATGTAAAAAGTGTTCAAAACAGGCCAAATAATGAGATACAGTAGAACCCCTCATATCCGGCCACCACGGGACCAAGCCCCTGACCGGATAACGATTTGGCCGGATAAACCAACCTACTATGAAAATGATAATTCATACCTAATAATAATAGGTAATCAATATATGCAATCAAAAGTATAATTTAATTCTGTTCTGGGATCATTTTTAGAAAAATAAACATGTTTGTAAAAAGAAAAAAAATATTTGTAGGTTAAAGTCATTAAGTAATGAATGTACAAATATTATGATTCCAGGTAACAAAACCTATTAAATGGAGGTAAAAATGACAATAAATTGTACTTAAAGATCATTAGGACTTAAATGGTATGCATTTCTACTCAACATTCTAAACCATTTTGTGAAATAACAAAATTAATGTACTCGTACTGTAGTTACTGTACTAAACCCACTTTGGAAATAATCAACCAACTGATCAGAGGTTAGCCCTACTAGCTCAACTGAGTATAGTGATTCAGCAAATAAATGTATAAACAAACAGATAAATAATGAGAACAATTTATTTTATGACTTGAACAGTCACAAAGACTAGTGGCTGCATCTAAACTCTGTAAGCTGTGAGAAAAAAATTTTGATATTGGCTTCCTGGAAGGGGCCGGATAAACAGAGGACCGGTAAAACCAAGGCCGGATATGAGGGGTTCTACTGTAGGCTAAAATAATTTTTTTCAAAATTCGTTATAAGCCCCTAAAGTAACTTAAAGAAATATGTTTACTACCGAATGTTCCCTTTAAACACGGCTTAAGTACATACATCGTACTTACATCGTATTAGCCTAAGTACGGTGGCAATGAATTGTTACAAGATTTTGAACGAGATGATGATGTGTTGGCTGGTGAATTGAAGACTGATCCGGATGGCAAATATTTGCCAAATTTTTAAATAAGTTACTTGTACTCTTTAAGAATGGCAAGTGCGACTGTTGTCTAGGCTACTGAAGGAGCAAACTGATCTAACTTAGGCCTATAGCCCAGATAAGTTTAGTGGAACCGATGTTTGGTAAACAAGTATGAAAGGGTAGGCTACAGTTTCCTACATGGTTATAGAATAAGATTTTTGGTTGTACATCACACTTGTTGTAAGATAGAACTTGTTCAACTTAATATTTTCATTGCATTTTTTTAAACATGTTTAAACATTGGTGTGAACCTGGCAATAACTAGTGCACGCGCTTGCTAAAATCTATTGCTGGCCGTTTTGCGGAAAAATACGGCCACGAGTCATATGACCGATGATGCCAACAGATAGAGGACACTTCAACGGACACGACAGTATCAACATCATGTACCTGGGGAGTAATATAGGGGGGGTAAAACCAGCAATAAGTTATGCGCGCGCCTGATAAAATCTATTGCCGGCCGTATTGCGGAAAAATACGTCCGCAAGCAATATTAACCCTTAGAGTGCCAGGCAAGAAATAAAAGTAACGCTCAAAAAATGCCGATGATTTTTCCCGAAGGTCGCGCTAAAAATGCCGAGCGCGATCTGGCGATTTTTAGGTTAAAATTTTGTAAAAATCGAATTTTTGATATTTCGACCAACGAAAATCGATGTATCGCATCTAGTAACTTTCGACTCAATGTTAATATATGGGTTAAAAGAATCCGAGTATCCATTCGGTTGTTATGACAACTGTTCGATCATTACGAAACGTCCGGTAAAACCAGCAATAAGTTGTGCGCGCGCCCGATAACATCTATTGCCGGCCGTATTGCGGAAAAATACGTCCGCGAGCAATATTAACTATGATGCCAACAGATGCATACTAAAATACAGGTACATGATGTTGATACTGTCGTGTCCGTTGAAGTGTCCTCAATGTTGGCATCATCGGTCATACGACTCGTGGCTGTATTTTTCCACAAAACGGCCAGTAATAGATATTAGCGGGCGCGTGCACTAGTTATTGCTAGGTTCACACAAGTGTTTAAACCAATTACTATGTTATTTGATTGTACAACACAAGATGTATAGCGTAAACGCGGCTTTAGGCCTTTGACCCAACCTCTATTATATAGGCATAGGCAAGGTCCAAAAATAAGACTGTCCACATTGTGGATTCCACAACCAATGATAATATAATTGGGCTGACCAAACTGTAAACCTTAACAGTGCCAGAGGAAAGATAATACTTAAATGGCTAAAATTAGGTACCTTTATATAGAAGCACAATCCATATTTTGGAAAATTCTGTGTTTTTGACTTATAATTTCAGCTCAGGGTGTACGTACACTACAGTACAAAGCGTGACGTAACCTCTCAATTTCACAAAACAAACAAAATATTAATATTAAACAAAACCAAAATAGGCTACTGGGTATGACTGGGTAGAGTCGAAAGTGAAAAACTCTCACAAGGACAAGACAATTACGAATTACTGAACTGAACTCAAATAAAATAAAGGCAGCCGTGAATAAAAATAGTGCTGCGCATGCGCACTATTAAGAACGTTACGTCACTGTAAGGTAGAATAGAAATGCCGAGTAAACGCTCCGGCTAACACTAGTACTTGTAAAATTCAACGGTTGTTGTGAAAGGTCACACACTAGTTGTAGCGGCCAGCGGGTAGCTGATTCTGATACTTTGGAACGAAACAGTAGTAGTAGGAGTAGTACAGTAGTGCATTGATTTGATGTGGTTGATGGCCTACCATACCTATATAAGCTAAAGCATTGAGATTAGTATAACTGGAGTCAACGTGAAGTGAATCTGGCCCACCCATTCCAGCACACTTTTTTTTAAACTTATACAAAAAGTGTGCTCTTTATAACGGCTTTTTAAAAAAAAGTGTGCTCTTCTAATAATTATGATATAATCAATTGTATTTGGGCGGGCCAGAATCACACCAGGGGCCCTATTTTTGAAATGGTTGACTGTTGAGTTGAGTGTCGAGTCATTCTATTTCCAATCGTTTCGTATTTTTGAAACGGTTGACGGTGGACTTATACAACCAAAACTACTCAACACCTATCGAGCTGTTGAGTGAAGGTTGACTGCACTTTCTTCTTCCTCTCTTTCGGCAAAAAATTACTCTTTTTGAGACGACGCCATATTGTTTTGTTATTGCTTTAATTTACTAAAATTGCGATTTAGAGGTTATGTATTTGTTGTCAATGTATTAGCACCCAATTACGCGGTGGGGCACACGGAAGATTTCTCAGGTGCCGTTTGACGTCACTAACTGCTGACGTCACTAACTGCTGCGTCTGAAGAAACAGACAATTTTATAATTTTCTATTAGTAGTGGAGAACTGCCGGTTTTACCTCACTTTAGACACGTTTTTCCCATGTTATTCTTATGGGGATCATTTTTTGGCCACCAATTCAAAAAATCCTGATCTTTGCCCAAATATCCCTATAAAATTGTCAAACCTTATTTCTTAGTTATTCCCTATAAATATATTCGATATTAAGCAAAAATAAAAAATAAACTAATTATTTCATTTATTGACCCATGCATGTGTATATGTATAGTAGTATAGTTTGTCGGTGCCGTTTTTTGTGGGTCGAGGTTTTTGTGCCAACTCCCCCCCCCCCCTCACCCCCTCACCACTCCCCTCTGCCCCATGCACAATTGCTAGTACATCTACCATTCCCCTTTCCAGTTGATATATTATATTTCTATTTCAAAATCATGTATGTGCGTGGTTTGCACGCGAACTCGGCTCATGGCGTGGGCGCGATCCTGGTCGCGGGCATGCTCCCTTGGACATCCTTAGTGGAAATCCATGAATTCTGGCTACTTGGGAACCCAAGCCATTTGACATACAATAAATCACCTTTTCTCCTAATTACCTTTTCTACTAAATACATGTCTTTATATTTGGTCTTTAACAACTCCTCTGTATAGAAGCCTCCTCTGATTATATTACCATTTTCATCTTTCAAGATATAAGTCACAGGCTTTGTATTTTTAACTTCTGCTATTTTAAATAGTTCCCCTGTCCAATTTGGGGTATATCCTTTACTAAAAACATGTTTATACTTGGAAATTCTCACGCTATCACCTACCTTATATCTTGGCTTTTTAACTTGCACTACTTTAGAAGTCAACCTCTCATGCACATATTTACTGTTCTTAATATTCACTTGGTTAGGCTTCATTCCTATAGATCTATGCACTTTATTATTATATTTTCGAATTAACTTTGGAAGTAAATCCAACCATTTATAACTCCCCTGAGCACTAAATTCTCTATATAACCAATTCTTTAAAGTTCTCTGAAACCTCTCCACAATTGCAGCCTTAGTTGTAGAAAATGTGTGATAGTGATTAATATTTAATTTTTTCATTAGTTTGCTAAAATATTGATTAAAAAATTCTTTTCCATTGTCGGATTGAATGTTTTTAACCCCCTTTGGTAGAATGGTTTTAATGGCTTCTGTAACCACCAACCCTGTCTTATTCTTTAGTGGAGCAGCATAAGCTTTTTTAGAAAATGTATCTATTAAAGTTAAAATATATTTATTGCCAGAATTCTCTCTAGCATAGTTTTGCATATCAATTAAATCTATTTGTACAGTTTTGTTTATACCCAATACTTTAAAAGACCTTCTAATGAAATTCTTTCTTGCAGGCTTATGAAGTTCGTATGCAATTTAATTCATTTTTTATAACATCATCCTTTCCTGTAACTCTAAATACATCACCATTAGCCCCAATCAATAGATTATCTTCCATTCTTTTAAATACATAGTTTTCTGGTATATATGGTCTATTATCTATATACTTAAATCCACTCAAAGATGTGGGGTCAGCAACTAATAAATCAGGATTATATTCCATCAAATTAAAATTTTTTTCTCCATATACAAATTTTGATCCATCGTAATGCATAGATTGTGACATTAGACAAATATCATCCGAATGTTCCCCTTCTGGTAGATTTCTTATGAATTGATTTTTGGCATCCCAACATTTTTCTTTTTTATTATAAGTTATAGTCTGTTCTTTTGTAACACAGTCAGTGTCATCAATGGCTGGTTTAACACGTACTAACCTTTTATTATTAAAATTCCAATAGCCTACTTCCATTTTTGGAACTTGTGAAACATTCACAGCATCTTTACTATCTGTACCATCTATCAAATTGCTAAGTTTCTGTTTCTTAGCATTCCAAACACCATTCTCTGATTCTAAAAATTCATAATTATTATCATCTTGTACAAATTTGCCATCTTCTTTTCGTATTAAAGTCTGTTGTAAAGTGGGCACATCATTTAAACTTTCACCCTTTTCTACATTAGTAATTTTCCGTTTCTTAGCATTCCAAACACCATTCTCTGATTCTAAAAATTCATAATTTTTATTGTCTTGTACAAATGTACCACCATCTGTTCGTATTAAAGTCTGTTGTAAAGTGGGCACATCATCTAAACTTTCACCCTTTTCCACATTAGTAATTTTCTGTTTTTTAGCATTCCACTTTTTATTCTTAGATTCTAAAAACTCATATTTAGTTTTACCTTGTAAAAAGACATCACCTTTTCTAGTTAATGTCTGTCCTAAAGTTGATACATCATCTACAAACTCCCCATCTTTAACATTACCAATTTTACGGTTTAAACAATTCCAACTATCATCTTGTAAATTTAAAGTAGGTTCACTACTCATGGTTGCCGCCCTGGGTTCTGCAGGCTTATTATATGGATTATATAAACGATAAAATTTATCTATAAACATATTTTTATTTAATAAATAATTCCACTTTCTCTCAATTCCTCAATAATGGAATCTATTTCATTATCCACTCCTGAGTTACCGGCTTGGCGACTTAGCCAAAGAAGTCTTAACCTATCTACAAGCTCATTAGGATCATCCCAATAAATATAGTCTATTTTATTACCAGTCACTTGTCTCAAACCTTCACCAACAGATTTAAATAGAGGTTTAATTATATTAAGATATTTAGTATGTCTATTACTTGAAATTGGTGCACCATCTTTGTAACTCTTTGCACATTTGCGTTTTTCAATATTAAAATTAATATAGGGCGCAAGCCATTTAGACTGTCTAAATTTTAAAATTCTATGGTATTTTGTTACAATCAAACCCAATTCCACATATTTTTGTAATGCTTTATAATGTAAAATATATTTAGTTTTGTCATTTAAATTAGGTATTAATTTGCCATTCATTTTCTCTGGTGCTAATGGATAGTCATTATGTAAATCATGTAAGCTTTTATCATATTTTAAATCAACTTCTAAAATGTATCCAAACTCATCATTTTGATTATATTTGTAGTCTATCTCATTAGTCCAACTGAATCCATCCACAGGCAGTGGCTCGCACATTGCTGTAGAGTATAGTGAGTTACAATCTAAATATATTAAATAGACACTCTCTTGATTGGGATCATAGTGTTCACCCATATATCTATTATTTGCTTTAGCGTAACGTGTAGAAATCATACTGACTCCTCCTCTGATCGCACTTTCTATGAACAAATGCATGTCAACATCTTTGAATAATTGTAATTTTATTCCTGTCATTCTAAGACAGGCCTCCCATGTAAGTCCAGGAAGTGAATACATATGTACAGGGTCAAGTTTGTAATCTTTTAAACACAGGTCTCTAAATGTCTCAAACACATCAGCCAGTAGCAATACATCTGTTTTAAGATATAAATCATGATATTCTTGTAAATTATGTATATTAAAATGGGTCCATACATTTTTAGCATGTTCATATTCATTGGGAGAGATATGTTCTTTAGTAATAGAACTGTAAAATGTTTCAATTGGGGGTAGAGACTCTGCGAACTTATCTGGTCCCGTCATATATTCATAGGGATATACACCTTTACGTTGTAGTAGTGGATTTTGTATGAATCTAAATGTGTTCAAATTGGAAGCCAATTTATATAATGGAAGGGACAGAAAGTTGTATGAATCTAAAAATACTAAATCATCAACAGAGAATGATACATATTTTTCCATATCTTTAGCTATACAATTTAATTTACGTTTATTAAACTTTCCCAAATGTTGCATTATTATGTGACCATCATAATTTTTCAAGTTATGGAAGAATACTGGTATTTTCTTTGTTACTTTATAGTTTAAATTACAATCATTGTGGGCAGCTCCACGGTATTGTCCAGAGGAATGGCAATGATCTCTCACCCTATCAAAATATAGGGGCTTTTCACAAATGTGACAATGTGTTGAGTTTTGGAAAGATACCTCTTGCTCAGGGGTCATTTGAAGAGGAATATATATTGCCATTTGATTTTTAATATAATCAAAAGCCTGAAATAATCTTTCAAAAAACACATCCATAACATTTGTGCCACTGTACAACTCTTCA